CATATTTAAATGTAGCAAAATTATATTGATTTTGATGGGCCTGCTTCCTTTAGTTCACTGATTAATGCCTTCATTTATAATAAGAAAGGTTATTCTTTATTTTCTATGTAATCTGTCTAGATAGCAGATTCTGTGTTTTGCTTGCATAATTTTCTGATCTTTATGTTGTCTTTATGCTTGATCATTTAATGGCAGGCAAAGAACAAAAGTTTCCTCATTTATCAAAGAGCTAAATTTCTTTATAATTGTGTTATCTCCTATGCTTCTTTTTAAAATGTTTTGATGTCAGGGCACCAGGGTGGCTTAGTTGGTTAAGCATCTGACTCAGGTCAAGATCTCATGGTTCATGAGTCTGGGCCCCATGTTGGGCTCTGTGGTGACAGCTCAGAGTCTTGAGCCTGCTTCCGATTTTGTGTCTTCCTCTCTCTCTGCTCCTCCCCTACTCGCGGTCTCTCTCAAAAAACATTTAAAAAATTAAAAATAAATAAGTTAAATGTTTTGATGTCAGTTTGTTTAGATAGGTAACCAAGTGTTGTTTCTGAGGCATCCATGATCCTATCTTAATCAAGTACCCAAATCCCCTCTAACAACTCTTGATTTTGCCTTCCAAAAAGCCACTTTACCAGATATAAAAGATATAAAGGTTTCAGGATAACTTTTAAACCTAAAACTATCCTTCAGATTTCCAAAAGGAACCCTGAAAAAATGCAAAAATTCATTCTTTCTCCTCATAAAGAGAGAAATGTGAGAAGTAATTAGGTTCATTTGATGGGTTAGTATTCCTTAAGAGTTGTAAGAGTTGCAAAATCAGAAGAGATACTTAGCCTTCCTTATATTAAAGTTTTATAAGTAAAACTCTACTAACATAAAAATTTTTGGAAATTGTACACCTTCTGAGCAGTTCCTAGAGATTACTATCTTGAGTAAAACCTCAAGAGAAAACTAATCATAAGTCATAAGTTTTTTTTCAATGGACAGAATATCAGGATAGAGGATCAACAAGGAAATACAGGATGGGAACAACAGTATAAATCAATTAGGCGTAATAGGTATATAGAAAATACTCCACCTAACAATATCACAATACATATTCTTCTCAAGTGCTCATGAAATATTCTCCAGTATAGACCATATATCTGGCTACAAAACAAGTTTCAATAAATTTAATAAGGCTAAAATCATACAAAGCATATTCTCTGATCACAATAGAATACAGAAATCTGTAACAGAGAGAAAAGTGGAAAATTCACAAATATATGGAAATTAAATAACATAATCTTAAATAATCAGCGGGTCAGAGAAAAAAATCAGAGGCACCTGGGTGGCTCAGTTGGTTAAATGTTTTGACTCTTGGTTTTGGCTCAAGTCATGATCTCAGCCTCATGAGTTCAAGCCCTGCATCAGGCTCCGCCTGCTTGGGATTGTTTCTCTCCATCTCTCTCTGCCTCTCCCCCACTTTCTCTCTCTCTCAAAACAAATAAATAAACTTAAAAAACTCTCATGATGTAGTTATGTACTGTACCCCAACAGAGAATTTTACTTTCCTTCCATTCTGATATTATTGGTTACTTTACTAAATTAACCACAGACATTAAATCTCTGTAATGTACAGTTTTTGTTTTACTCTGATGTTTTCCTGAAGAAAACTCTACCATAAGTGACAGGCAAGAGTTTGTATATTTAACCAAGTACTATAGTCTCAGAGCCTCACAGGAAAGGACTATACCAGGTACTTCAAACTGTCGACACGTCAGAATAGACTCTAGATTACAAGTTTCTGAGTTGACACTGCATAGACAACTCTGGGACCATACCAGTGCACTTAATGAGGATTTCCAGGTTTTGTTCTAGTTTAAAAGCATACAGTTTTATGAAAGCAGATGGCTGGCCCAAGATCCAGCAGAACATCAATTACGTAGGACTGAATAAATTGACGTGGGAAATTTTATTGTGGTTATGTATTTGGAATATTGTTGATGTTGTTTTAATATTCTATTTTCTGAATATAGGAGAAAATCTTTTCTTAGTAAATTATTTGTGGGGCGCCTGGGTGGCGCAGTCGGTTAAGCGTCCGACTTCAGCCAGGTCATGATCTCGCGGTCCGTGAGTTCGAGCCCTGCGTCGGGCTCTGGGCTGATGGCTCAGA